GGGGGGGGGGGGGGGGGGGGGGGGGGGGGGGGCCGCGGCGGAGGGCTCGAAGCACCCTGTGCTAACACATGGACATGGGAGATGGAATCTCAGGTACTGGGATTTGACAGGAATCCAACATGAGATAGAATATTGTGAAATCAATCTGAAAAGATAGATCGGAACCAGTTTAAGGATTTTATGTCCTTCGAAAATCTATATTTTATCCCAGAGGCCTCATTATCCCAAGTCATAGAGTTCTGAAGAAATGAGGCTAAGAAGATTGCATATGTGGCCTCTGGAGCTGGAAGAGCACCAAGGGAATAAAACCATGATATTTCGAAGCCAAAGATCTGAACTTTGCCTTCTGCCACTACCATGGGTTTTTTGGACAGGAAGGAAGAAAGGTTAGAGGCAAAGTGGGAGAGCAGGAGAGGAGGAAGGGTATTCCCAGAGTTTGGATTTCGACCATTTAGAAATAAAATGCAATTTGAAGTATAATTTTCTCACTTTTTTCTTGCTTTTTCTTTGCAATATGGCTAATATGGAAATAGGTTTTGCATGATTTCAGACGTATAATATAATGACATATTGCTTGCCTTCTCAGTGGGTAAGAGAGGGGCAAGAGAGAGGGAGAGAATTTGGAACTCAAAATTTTTTAAATGTTAAAAATAAAGTATGAATTTAAAAATAATAATAATAAAGAAAATAAATTATAAAAAATTAAAAAGCTGGCTTAAAAAAAGAAATTAAATTAAAATTCTCAGAAAAAAAACCTTAAATCAAAAAGAAACTGTAATGTTAATCCACCTGCCTCGTACAATACCATTAAAAACAGAAAAATGTTATATTTATTAAACACAGTAAGGGAGATTTCTGCCTTTGTGGTTTCAAAATCACATTCGAAATGAAAGGGAACTGGGTGAAGTTGTAGGTGTGGGTTTCACAATTAAAAATCTACAATCCATTAGAACAGAAATGCCTTTTAAGTCAAAAATAGTAGTTGAGAAACTGTTCTCTAAGGTTGAACATTTCTCATCCCAATTTGAGTTCTGTGCCCTTAGGTCTGTGGGAAGTGACAGCGTTTTGCCTGTGGATGCTCTGTCAGAGGTGCTAATTGGCTCCATTTTAGATGACCTAGGCTTCTTCTCAAAACCCACATCCATTTAAAAAGATAATGCCAGGGGTGATAAATTTTGTAGAGTGGATCTGACATTTGCAAATCTTTTTCTCTAACCTTTGAAAACTAACTTTGTTCTTTAGCCAGCTCCTCTGTAGCTGTTGATTCTCTTGAGGCAGTATTATGATAAGTTACAAGTGGTGAGTCTGTGCCCGCCTCCATTCACTGAAATTCTCTTCCTTTATAAAAAGTAGGGGGAAAATTTACTTTCCCTTTTACAAAAATAAAAAAAAAATAAGAATTTCCTTTCTCTTAGAAAATGAGGATATCTTGTCCCTTGATGATATCCAAAGAGCCTGAGCTATGTCTCCTGCATAAAACCCAAGACTCTCTGTCATTGATGAGTTTATTTTGAACCCAATTTATATTCTCCACGGCTGCAACTTCTTAAGGAAATCCATATTCTACCTGCTGGGTAAAAAAAAGTATTTCATTTTATTGTTCTAAAGATACCTCCTTCAAGATTCAGAAGACCTCCTTTTTCCTAACTGGAACTCAGTCGGCAGCCTATCAAGGTCTTATTCATGGAAGCAACATGATTTAATTAAGATCTTTGCTGGAAGGCCAGGCCTTTAATCCCCTGCCTAGCAACCTCAATTTGGCTTCTAGGACTTGCATTCCCATAATTCATGTATCGTCCACATGTGCCAAGCCCACTGGCTGCTCTGCTGCCCTTACTTACAGCATGCCTTGGGAGGTCTTATCTTCTTTGGCAACGTTGGAGAATCCAGGCCGCGTCACTAGCCGTCTGGCTTTTGACAACACCTCACAAAGAATAATTAATCATCTTCTTCATCAAGTACAGTCAACTTCCTTAAAGAAAAAACAAAGACAACTTTTCATTAAAATTTAGCCTCCCCCAGGTCACGTGAGCAACAACATGAAGGACTAGACATTTTCTCTGATCCCCATGACCTATCAAGTATCTCCAAAACAGAAATGATGCACCAAAAGTAAAGCAACTCTAGCTGTCTCCACGGTCTGGGACGCCCAAAATCCAAAAGACAGTTAATAAAAAACCAAGCCCCCCAAGTGATGCTTACTGACCCTGAGTTCACTCTGCCCTCTCCCTTCAGCAGACCCAAGGACACGACAAGCTTACAGCAACACTCCCTCTCCCTCCATCACTGTGAAGAACTTGGCTGCAGGCTTCAAAGCAGTCACAACAGCCAGAGCCGTTGGCCATAGCCCTTTAGGAGCAAAAGCCTGCCAGGAGCACAAAATGCTACAGAACTATGAACTGCTGGTGCAGGGCCAGAGAACTAAGGAACAGAGAGAGTGGGACAGGACACCAAGACAGGATAACTTGTGGGGGAAAGAGGGGGAGAGGGGAGAGACATGCAGCATTCCTGAGGGAAGCCTGAGCTTCCTGAGGCGAAGAGCACAGCATCCAGCTGGGGCCAATTCTGACCAAGAAAAAGTCACTTGGGGCAAAGACCTGAAATCCTTTTTGGAAAGGGGGACAAAAAATGAAATTTTAAACACTAATGAGCAGGAGTAGCTGAAGGGGAGTAGAAGAAGGTGGCATCTATATGACTAATGGAAAGGGAAAAAGAGTAGGAAAAAATATATAACCAAATAAAAGCAGGAGAAAAAAGCAACTAATTACAAAACCCTAAAAGGAAAGGAGTAACAAATGAGAAGAGGGGATCAGAGGGTGAGGGTAAGAGAGCCAGTGAGAACTGAATCACCTTAAAAAATTAAAGTAACTGAAGGAACATAATCCTTTTACATCAAAAGAGAGAAATAACTTGGAAAAGAATTTTTTTTTCTGGTAGGCAATGGGATTAAGTGACTTGCCCAGGGTCACACAGCTAGTAAGTGTTACGTGTCTGAGGCCGGATTTGAACTCGGGTCCTCCTGACTCCAAGTCTGGACCTCTATCCATTGTGCCACCTAGCTGCCCCAAGAAACACATTTTAAAAAACAAAGACATACACAAAATAAAACTGAGGGGATAGGAAAGAAATTTACTATGTACTAAGTAAATGGGAAAAAAGTAGGAGGTTCCATCATGCTATCAAAGGAGAAACATTCAAAAAATAAAAAGGGATAAACAAGTAAAGTATATTATTCTGAAAAGAACCACAAACAACAAACCAATATCAGTAATAAATGTATGCAGTCCAAATGCTTTAGCATCCAAATTCATAAAAGAAACATTCCCTGAGCTTTAAGATGACACAGACAGTAACATAATAGAGACAGAAAACTTCAATATCCATTTCTCAGTTTTGGATAAGTTTAACAGAAAGTTAAACAAAAGGGAAAATATGTAACGGAACAAATTTCTGGAGAAACTAGAGTTAAAAGATATATGGCATCTTCTAAATGGGAAAGCAAAAGAATATACGTATTTCTATACCATATGGGACTTTTCCAAAAATTGACCACATACTAAGGCACAGAGATATTGCAAGCAAATGTAAAAGTGCAGAAATAGTTTTGTTTTGTTTTGGCTTGGTTTTTTTGGTGAGGCAATTGGGGTTAAGTGACTTGCCTAGGGTCACACAGCTAGTAAGTATCAAGTGTCTGGTCTGAGGCCTGAGTTGAACTCAGGTCCTCCTGACTCCAGGCCCGGTGCTCTGTCTACTGCGCCACCCAGCTGCATCCAAAATGCAGAAATCATTAATACATCCTTTACAGACTGTAACACAATAAAAATAGAAATTGATTCTGTGACCACAAACAAAAGATACAGACCCAAATGGAGACTTAACAATGAAATCCTAAGTAATGAATTGGTCAAAGAACAAATCACAGAAACAATAACAATGTAAAAGAAAGTAATAATGATGAAACATACAAAACTTCTGGAATGTAGTTAAAGCAATCCACAGGAGGAAAATCATATCCTTACAATCACACATTAACAAAATTCAAAAACAAAGGATTAATGAACTGAATACGTATTTTTAAAATTAGAAAATAAACCTCAAATAAACACAAAAGAGGAAGTATTAAAAATTAGAGGGGAAATAGATAAAATTGAAACAAAAAATAGAAATGATAAATAAACTAAAAGATTGTTCTTTGAAAAGACTAATAAAATTGATAAACCCTTAGCTAATCTGATGAAAAAAAGAGAGTAGAAAATCAAATTAACAAAATAGCAAATGAGCAAGGTGAAATCACAGCAAAACCAGAAAAAATAAAGGAAAAAATCAGAGCACATTCTGCACAGTTATATGTTAACAACTTAGAACCAAAAGAAATAGAGGAAGACCTTCATATATATAAACTACTCAAATTATCAGAAGACCAGAGAGAGATCTTAAATAATTCAATCTCTGAAAAGGAAAAGAGATCTAGCTATAGAGGAATCACCAAAGAAAAAAATTTCCAGTCCTGATAGATTCCCAAGAGATTTCTATCAAATTTTTCAAGAACAGTTAGTACCTATTACCTAGTACAAATTATTCTAAAAAATATGAAAGAAAGCGTACTACCAGAATCCTTTTATGAGACAAATATAAACCAGGGAAATACTAAACGCAGAACAAAAACTATAGGCCAATATCATTAATGAACAATGACTCAGAAATCTTTAACTCAGAAATTTAAATCGTATCAAACAAGCTACACCAATTTATTCAAGAAATAAGTCATTATGATCAAGTAGAAGTTATACCAGGGATATAAGAATGGTTCAACATTGGGAAAACAATCAACATAATTAATTATCTTAAAAACCAAGATATCCAAAACCACATGATCATCTCAATAGACGCAGAAAAATCCTTTGACAAACTACAACACTCTTTTATGCTAAAAATCCTACAAAGTATAGACACAAAGGGATCTTTTTTAATATCATCAAAAGCAAGCATCATGTGCACTAGCGATACACTAGAATCTTTTCCGATAAATACAGGAGTAAATCAAGCATGCCTACTCTCCCCACTATCATTTGATATAGTTCTAGAAATGCTTTGTTGTAGTTGTTGAGTCATTTTAGTTGTGTCCGACTCTTTGTGACCCATTTGAGGTTTTCTAGGCAAAGATACTACAGTGGTTTGCCATTTCCTTCTCCAGTTCATTTTACAGATGAGGAAACTAAGGCAAACAGGGTGAAGTGACTTGCCCAGGGTCACACACAGGTAGTAAGTGTCTAAAGATAAATTTGAATTCAGGAAGACAAGTCTACCTGACTCCAGACCCAGCACTCTATCCACTGTGCCACCTAGTTGCCCTAGAAATGCTAGTAATAGCAATAAGACAAGAGAAAAGAATTAATGGAATAAAGACAGGTAAAGAAGAGATAAAACTATTCCTGTTTGCTGATTATATGATGATATACTTGGAACATCCTAGGGAATCATCAAAGATATTGCCTGACATAATTAATAGTTTCAGTAAAGTCGCAGGCTACAAAATAAATCCTCAAAAATCAATAGTATTTTTATATGATAATAACAAAACACAAAAAGCAATAATAGAAAGGGAAATCCCATTCCAAATAACTACACAATGCATAAAATAACTGGGGATCCTTCTCACAAAGCACACAAAAGAGTTGTACAGATTCAATTATAAAGTGCTTCTTCCTTTTTTTTTTTTCTTTTTTTGGCAATTGGGGTTAAGTAACTTGCCCAGGGTCACACAGCTAGTAAGTGTCAAGTGCTTGGTCTGAGGCCGGATTTGAACTCTGGTCCTCCTGACTTGAGGGCCAGTGCTCTGTCCACTGTGCCACCTAGCTGCCCCTAAAGTGCTTCTTCAAAGAAATGACAAACAACTTAAATAGCTGGAGGAATAGGTAGTGCTCATGGCTAGGCCATGCCAATATAATAAATATGACAATACTACCAAAATGAATTTACACTTGTAATGCTATACCAATCAAATTACCAAGGGGATGCTTTATAGAACTTGATCAAATAATAACAAAATTCATTTGAAAAAACAAAAGATCTAGAACATCAAGGAAAATTATAAAAAAAAAAAAAAAAGAAGTAAGGATGAAAGGGGAATCACACTTCCAGACCTCAAATTATATTACAAAACAGTAGTCATCAAAACCATCTATTGCTGGTTAAAGGATAAACAAAAAATCAGTGGGACAGACTAGACAAGGGAGATTCCAAAATAACAAAATTTAATAACCTGTTGTTTCACAAAGTGGAAAACATAAATTGCCTAGGGAAAAACTCCCTATTTGATAAAAACTGCTGGGAAAACTAGAAATCTGTCTAGAAGAAATTAGGCTTGGATCAACTTAAACCATACTCCATAATATATTCTAAATGGATATACAACCTTGATATTAAAGATCATACTATCAAAAAATTAGAAAAGAAACAGATCATATGCTAAGAAACAGATACATGCTTCTCATAGCTTTCAGTGGATTAATTGTTAACCAAAAAAGAGACAAAGGCAATTACAAAAATAAAACAGATAATTTTGATTATTTGAAACTGAACCTTCTCCACAGACAACATTAATGCATCTAGGATAAGAGGGAACTGGTTGAATGGTAAAAATCTTTGTATCAAATTTCTCTGATAAAGGTTTGATATGTAACATATATAAACAATATAGATGTAAAATACCCATTCGCCAATAGATAAATGGCAAGAGGGAAATGAATAAAGAGTTCACAACCACATAAAAAAAGTTCCAAACCACTAATAATAAGAGAAATCCAAATCAAAACAAGCCTGAGGTTTTACCTCACACTCTTCAAATTGCCAAAAATGACGAACAATGGAAACAGTCAATGTTGGAGGAGTTGTGGAAAGACAGACATGTTAATACATTGTTAATATAGCTGTGAAATAGT